ACAAAGAGTTGGACACGACTGAGTGACTGAACTGAACTGAACTGAGCGACTAACACTTTCTCTTTCAAGTGCTAGGTTCTAGCCTCTGCCTTAAAAAAATTAATGGTTTGATAGCTTTCAAGCTGGAAATGAAGTGAAGGACAAGAAATGGCTGCATCAGATCTGTGAACAAGGTCTGCTTCCATAATCTTAATATGTTGAAGGTAATGGCTCTTTGCTTGGGGAGGTCTACCATCAGAACTTTGGGCTTCTGTAACAAAATACCATAGACTGGGTGACTTACAAACAACAAAGTTTTATTTCTCATAGTTGTGGAGGCTGGAAGTTCAAGATCAGGGTGCCAGAATTGTGGGGTTCTGGAGAAGGCCTTCTCAGGGTTGTGGACTGCTGACTTTCCACCATGTCCTGACATGGTAGAAGAGGTGTGGGACCTCTGGGGTCTCTTTTATAAGGATACTAATCTCATTCGAGAGGATTGCAACCTCATGACCTAGACACCTCTGAAAGATCCCATTTCCTGATTCCATCACACTGGGTATTAGAATTTCAACATATAAATATGGAGGATCAACCTGAAACAATAAAATAGCCAGTTATTTTCCCAATAAAACAGGTTTATTCTAGAGCAGCAAAGAATTACAATTCAAGACATGCAATTATGGTGAACCACATTCAAGTCCACATGCAAACAAAGGAAAGGAAACTCTTTTATAGAGGATATTGGGAAGTTGGGAGGGACCTGTTATAAATGAAAAGGCCATTGGAGAAAACGCTGAGCTTGATGTATACTGGCTTTCCACTGGCCAATTTGTGACACTCTCTCATTGACTGAGCTGTTACCGGACAAGAAGAAAATGTTTTCTCCTTTTGTTGGTGGTAGTAAAGTAGTGGTGTCACTTCCTGCTGGAAATGCAGAGTAGTTTCTCCTTGTTGGGATCTGTACCGTTGATTGATATATAGAGGGCATATGCATGAGAGCTTCCCTGTCTGATTGCCCAACTGCGTTTTAGTGAGGTTTCCCTTTATTAATTTTCACAGTGGGGCACGAATTTTCAGACCATAGCAATCAGGGAGAGAGATTTTCAAGTGACCTTTGTGGCTAGGATGTATGATTACTTGGCACACAAGGAGGAAGCACTGGAGAAGATGGAAAGGAATCCACTTAAGTGAAATTGCAGGTTTTAGACCATCCGGATAAATTCAGGTGTGTGATTTCTCTCAGTAGGGTTTCTGGCTACTTTCAAACCTCTGATTGATTTTGAACTTTTTATTTCCTACTTTATATTTTTCTACTATTTATCTTCGCTGAACTCCCATAGACAGCACAGCTTCAAAATATTCCTAACTAAGCCTTCTTCTGTTCCTCTCTTCCCTTTATTTCTGCAATCAGTGGCAACACCGATCACCTCATTATCCAAGAGAAAACCTGGGAATCACCCTAGACTATCCCTCTCCCTAGTGCCATAAGTCTTCTGTCCCCAGATATCATCTGTTTTGCTCCTTAACATATCTAGAATTAATTCCATTCTCTTTATAAGGACCCTGCTTTGGTTTCTCCATTCATCAGTCATCATTTTTCATTTTTCATTCTTCTGCAAGGCCTCCAGCACGAACTTTCCAAAGTCTTTCATTGGTGCCAACTCTTTGATGCAAGGCCCTCCCTGCGTGACCTTTTCTTCGTCTCCAGGTCCTCAGCTGCACCCTGGGCTCCAGTCATGCTGAACTGCTCTCCATCCCTTTGGTGCTGAGTTTGGTTCCTCAAGTCACAGGGCTTTTGTGTTCGTATCTGCCTGGAAAGTTCTTCCATAATTCAGATTAAGCTCATCTCTGGGGAAGTCTTCTTTGTCTCTTAAGGCTGATTTATGATTCTCCGATGAGGTTTCTTACCATTGTACTTGGCAAGTGCAGCTTTGTAATTTATTTTCCCATCTGCCTTATAAGCTGGTGAGTTCTGAGCCAAGGTTAAATGTGGCGATAGCAGAGTTCCACATTTAGTGACCTCTGTTTGTTGACCATGTTCACGGAAGATCATGCTAACTCACAGAAGCAGTGATGGCAAAGGGTCAATCATTACCGTCCAATGCCCAGCCTCTGCAGTGGGAGCTAGGCATAGAGCCTGGGACCCAAGCTAGTGGCAGTGGGATTCTCTGACGAGCAGTCCTACAGTGGTCTTTGTTGCCTCCAACTTTCTGGCTTTTTTGGAGATTCTGTGAACTGCACAATATATTTGAATAAATCTTTCTTTTTTTTTTTTTTTTTCCATTTAAGCAATACTATTGGCTTCTGTGCTGTGCAACCAGGAACCCTCACGCAAACCTCTAAACTGGGAAAGCCCTCAAGTTAGGTCATCCCACTCCTGCAGTTCCCAGTCTCTACCGCACGGGGTCACTATGGAGAAGCCTGCTCCTCTCTCTCGCCCAAATCCGGTCCACTTCTGTGACGTCTCCGGTCACTGTGCAGGCTGGTCCATCGAGTTGCCAGGGTGCTGCTCCTTCCTGGGTCAGCTGAGGGTGCCCATAGGCGGAGTTTCCCTGCTTGTAGCCCTTAGTACTATTCTCTTTTTGCTCATAAACAGACACCTGCTAAAGGGGCATGTGCTCCAAGTTGGCTGAGCTGTTGTCAGCCAGGGAGAAAATCCTTCTTCCCTCTGCTGGTGGTAGTAAAGTACTGGTGTCACTTCCTGCTGGAAATGCAAAGTAGCCTCTTCCTGTCGGGATCGTACTATTGATTGATATATGGAATGGTATGTGCGTGAGGGCCTCACCTTCTGATCCACAGAACGGTGGACGCACCACAAATTCTTTGACACCCCTCCTGTAAAGAGATGGGTTATGTTTCTTTCCCTTGAGTCTGGTCCGGTCTTTGTGATGGAAGTGAAGCTAAGCTGAGCTAAACTTTCCAGGCCAGGTTTAGAAAGCTACTGCAGGTTCTGCAGGTTCTGTTGGGACACTTGTCAACTGTTATGTAAGAAGTCTGGTGACCCCAAGTCACCTCGTTGAGAGCTCATGTGGAAAGACCACATAGAGAGAGATGCCTGAGAACCCCAGCTGCTGAGTCTCCCAGCCCAGCAACCGGAAACGAGCCATGAGTGAAGAAGGCTTCGAGATTATCCTTGTCCCAGGCCCGTGTGATGGGAGCTTTATGAGAGGATGGAGGAGACACCTAGCCAGTCCAGTCAGTCCCCAGACGCAGGAGCAAAATCATAAACAATTGTCAGGTCCTCACTGCTTTGGGGGCCTTTCTTTCACAGGTATAAGTAACCAGATGCTCTCTTGCAGTCAATGACAAAAGGAATTAAAATGGGCAGCGAAGGAGGGAAGGAGGAATTACTGCTTCATGGGGCAGTTTCAGTTTGAGAAGACAAGAGATTCTGGAGATGGCTGCATAAAAATGTAAATGTGCTTAATGCCACTGAACTGCACAGTTCAAAATGGTTTAAATGGTAAACAAACAAAAACCTTTATGTTTATTTTACTAAAATTTTTAAAAGGAAAAGAAATCTGGGCAATAACTGATTTTGGAATAAATGTAGAAATGGATATTCATATTATTAAAACAACTGGAACCTACCCACAACTGGTTCTGGCTCTCAGGTTTTAAAGGTTAATATTTATGTGAAAAAATGCACCTCTGTCTTCAGGATGTTGATAGCTGCCCTGAAAAAAAAAATAATAGAAAAAGCAGCGAGCACTGTTCATGAACAAAGTGCTAGGGATGCTGATAAGAAGAAGACAAAGTCTCCTGTGTCTTGCAGTGTAGTGGGGGCTGGGGGGTGGTGGGTGGGTGGGCGTTTTGGGGAAGGGGGAGACAAGTGACAACAGGATTTGTTGGGTGATGACAAGTGCTCTGGTGAGATTAAAGCAGGCTCATGTGATAGAAAGCAACTGCATGCCCACTGTACATTGAGGCCACAGGGGATTTACTAAGGTGGGAAGAACAGGTTTAAGAATAGGGGTAGAGTTTGGGGTTGGCCTTTCTTTGAAAATGCTATCAGGCATCCAGGAGACATGTTAAGTGCTCAGTGAGATGCATAGTCCAGACTTCTAGCAAAGGTCAGGGCTGGAGATATGGATTTGTGTGGTGCTAGACTGTGGTGGGATTTAAGGAGGACTTGTGAAATAAGGAACCAAAAGTTTTCAGGAACTTTGAATACTTAAAGAAACAGAAAAAAATGAGACAAGAGCTGCGAGGTCCATTATTTTCTTGTGATAGGTATTATGGCAACCGTTTTACTTTAATCAGTTCAGTTCAGTCGCTCAGTTAATACGTAGCTTCATTTTCTCAAAATTCCAGTTTCCTTTTTAAAAGTGGGAAATGGGACACAAAAAAGATAGTAAATTGCCCAGGGCCAAGCCATGAGCAGGTGGTAGAGCTGGGGTTTGAACCAGGCTTATGGGAATCCAATGTCCTTCCACCTGCTAAACCTTAGTACACTGAATACAACATCCCCAGGCTTCCCTGGTGGTCCAGTGGTTAATAATCCGCCTTGCAATGCAAGGGACACCGGTTCAATCCCTAGTCCAGGCAGACCCCACATGCTTCGGAGTAGCTAAGCCTGTGGGCTGCAACTACTGAAGCCCTTGCTCCCAGAGCGTGTGCTCCGCAACAAGGTGAGAAGCTACCGCGATGAGAAGTCAGGGCTCCGCAGTGAAGAGCAGCCCCACTCGTGGCGACTAAAGTCCACATGCGGCAACAAAGACCCACAGTCAAAAATAAATACATAAATCCTAGAAAAAACATACAGCACTCCTGAATGAACAGATTATCCAGGTCTTTTATAAATAAAATAAAATAAAATATGTATGCTTGACTGAAATATTTATTTGAGAATTATACAGCAAAATTCCAAAATGGCATAAACTTTGTAGAGACCTTTAAAAAATGTCGCATCAAACCGCCTCTATTGTTTTCCTTGAAGAAGTACTAATTATTCAGTATCATTTCAATTAAAATGGAGCTTCTGAGAGAAAAAGAGTAGAAAGAAGAGCGAGATCATAGTTTTATACATTGTGCTGAGAAATAAGAGCCCTTCCTACATGAAGACTAATCCAGTCAAAATAATTGGCCACTTTGGTGTAAACGCCTGGGAACTCTGGGTTTCCGCAGTTTTCACCCCAACTCACAACACCCCAGACGTAAGTCACATTGTTGACATCCTGACAGATTAAGGGGCCTCCAGAGTCCCCTTTACAGGCATCAATAGAACCATCATCTGTGCCTGAGGAAGACAAGGGACAAAGAAAATCACACATTTACTTCCATTGTCAAGGCTGTTCTCCCACCAATGCCTGTACTGACACGGGCTTTCTTCTTTTTTTTTCAAGTTTTTTGTTTGTATTGTTTGAACATGCTGTGTGGCATGTTCGATCTTAGTTCCCTGACCAGGGATTGAACTCCCATCCCCTGCATTGGAAGCGTGGAGTCTTAACAATTGGACCTTCAGGAAAGTCCCAAACACTGACTTTCTTACACTTTCCTAACAGGCAATAACGATGGGCTCCCTTACAGAGCAGGCCCAAAGAGTTGTGGAAGTGCAGGTTGGGAAATACTGTGTCTCTTATTAAAACTCATTCTCCAAGTTTAGCAAGTATGCTCCCATTTCCTCTACTTTGTGGAAGCATATTTCATAATGAGATAGCAATCTCAACGTAGCATCAGTGGCTGAGTGGAAAAATAATAGCAGTACCTAGTACTCACTGAGTTCTTAATATGTATTAATTGTTCACTCTTTTAACCCTCATGACAACCCTATGAGGGACAGATCGTTAGTTTCCCTATTTTAAGATGAGATAAGGCACAGAGACATTAGTGAACTTGTCTAGGGTCAAGGAAATGAACTTGAACCCAGGTAGCCAGAACTTGAACTTGAACTTCTGAACTTGAACCCAGGTAGCCAGACTTCAGAGCTTATCCTCTTAACTGTGCAATTGTGCCTGGGTAGATTTTGTGCTGTTCTCTCCTTTTGTACTCTGTAATCCTTAGCTCCATTTTAAGATGGTGGGGGTGGGGGGAGGCACATGGAATGGTCTGTTTACTTTTTTCTCACTCTTGTGACTTTCCAAGATTTTAAATCGTTGTATCCAAGAAGTTGGGGCTTCCCTGATACCTCAGCAATAAAGAATCCGCCTGCAGTGCAGGAGACGCAGGAGACTCGGGTTTGATTCCTGGGTTGGGAGGATCCCCTGGAGGAAGGCACGGCAACCAACTCCAGTATTCTTGTCTGGAGAATTCCATGGACAGAGGAGCCTGGCAGACTATGGTCCAAAATGTCACAAAGAGTTGAATGCAACTGAGCACACAGATACATACATCCAAGCAGTTACAGGATGTCAATAACTCTGCCTTTTTCTATAATCCACTATTTGCAAGTGATTGCAATCAAGTGTCCTAAATGCCCTGCCATGGCTGGCACCCTGCCTTTGGGTCGCCACCAGAAGTAGGAACTGACGTAGTTATGTTGGGTGGTAGCACTAGCATTCCCATGATTTTGAAGAAGGAAGGGACAGGGATCCTGAGAAGCCAAAGGGATTCCTAACGGGGGAGAACTGACTTCCAACTGGACATTTTGAAATGAGATAGTTTGGATTTTTACTTAGAAGTCTAGGCTTTGATCCTGAATATACCATTGCTTGTCTGTAAGACTTTGCTGTGTGGTTGTTTAGTCGCTAAGTTGTGTCTGACTCTTTGTGACCCCCTATGGGCTGTAGCCTGCCAGGCTCCTCTGTCCATGGGATTTCCCAAGCAAGAATACTGGAATAGATTGTCATTTCCTTCTCTAGGGGATCTTCCTGACCCAGGGATCAAACCCGCGTCTCCTGTGTCTCCTGCATTGCAGGTGGATTCTTTACCACTGAGTGACCAGGGAAGCCCCTATACAACTTGGGGCAACTCACATTACTGCTCTGCATCTCACTTTTCTCATCTCTTAAGATCACCAGTGTTGCAGGTGAGGAAACTTGCTCAAGGTCACAAAGTAGTAATTGGTGAGAACTGGAATGTAAACCCAGGCAGTCTGGTTCCAGAGTTTGTGCTCTTAATCACCTTGTTAGACTGCTGTATAATGGCTTAAGGAAGATTTTTCCTTTGGGTATTAGGTTGCGGGAACTTGAGCTAAGGGAAAGGGACTGAAAGAGTCTGATAATGCAACAGCCAGTGGTGATTTAGTTGCTAAGTGGTGTCCGACTCTTGGTGACTGTAGCCTGCCAGGCTCCTCTGTCCAAGGAATTTTCCAGACAAGAATACTGGAGTGCGTTGCCATTTCCTTCTCCAGGGGATCTTTAAAGCCAGAGGCCAAAGGAAAAGGTTGGAGGCCCAGAACAAGGCGGTGACTCAGTGGGGAGGACAAAGGTGTTTGGTAGAGGCTATGGAGACATCTCCCAGAGGCCACTTTGTGCTTACCTGCACACTCCATTTCTTTTTCAAAGTAGCGACCTGGGTAGAACTTTGAGCAGTTGTTTATTAGATGAACTTCACCCCACATAAGTGAATATACCTTTTGGTTACCTAAACAAAGTGAAAAAACAAAGAGGCATTTAGAAGTTACAAATGAGGAATCTAAGTATTTACTTTCATAATTCAGTAAACCATTTGGAACATATAAGAATATATATATTCTTTAAGACATATGTAAACTTTTCAGGAGAACTCACTAGCAAATTTAGTCATACACTGCTCATATCCCATTTCTGTAATTGTCTTTCTAAAAATAGTCAAGAAGCCTTATTGAATATCTGGCCTGGGTACTGTGAGATGGGCTTCCTGGTGGCTCAGTGGGTGAAGAATTTGCCTGCGGTGCAGGAGACCAGGGTTCGATCCCTGAGTTGGGACGATCCCCTGGAGAAGGAAATGGCAACCCACTCCAGTATTCTTGCCTGGAGAATCCCATGGACAGAGGAATTTGGAGGGCTATATGGTCCAGGGGGTCACAAAGAGTTGGACATGACTTTGTGACTAAGAGACAGTACACTGTGAAAAGAATGGGATAGACTCCTTCTGATCACTGAGTCTAGTGGTGAGGTGGGGTGGGGGTGGGTGGTGATTAGAAATCTGTGATTGGGATCTTCTCACATAAATAGTTCCAGTCTTCTTATAGTCCCTTCTTTGCTTGAAAGTCCTTGTTAGAGTGAAAACAACTTTTAAATATAAAAACTTAAAATGAAAATACACATGAAATGATTGGTATCTACGAGTTTTTGTGTCTGTGAGGAACTCGATCTCCTAAATGATTTGAAAGTGACTGAAAGAGGCTTTAGGATTTCCCTTTAAGTCACAGATTTGGGATTTGAACTTGGTCCAAGGAAAGAGAAGGACCAGGTGCTGTTGCTGATTGACAGGCCGGGGAAGATGAGAAAGACCTAAGAACACAGGTTCATATACCTCAGGTATAAGGAGTGAATTTTTGTCCCATCTCCTCTCTTCCTTTTTCCCACCTTACAGCAATTTTTATGCGCTCCAGGAGGGCAGGGGCTGGGCCTGATTCATTCACTGCTGCACCTAGCCTCATGCTAGTACCAAGTAGTTACCTAATAAATATTTATGTAATTAATGCATGAACTCAGTAATTCCATTATACACTAAACATTTTATGCCAAATGACTTGGCTCTTCAATTAATCTACAAATCTCTGTCTCTACCTGGGAACCAAGATGTCTGGTTTATTCTGAAAGGACACCCTCACAGATTCTACCCAGGGTGTTGTGGTCCCACCCAGGGTGTTGTGGGCTAATATTCTTTTCTTCTGGGAAACAGAGGGAGAAACTAATGCTTTCTAATACATTCCTCCAACCAGTATGGCAAATCAGGAAGGAGTTTCTTTTTTCTCCTTCAAGTCATACCTCACATTAGTCTTTGTTTTTTCTTTTTTAATATTTATTTTTATTTATTTGGCTGGGCCTCCCTGGTGGTTCAGTGGTAAAGAATCTACCTGCAGTGCAGGAGGCCTGGGTTTGGCCCCTGGGTTGGGAAGATCCCCTGGAGAAGGAAATGGCAACCCACTCCAGTATTCTTGCCTGGGAAATCCCATGTGGGGGTCACAAAGTTGGGCATGACTTAGCAACTAAACAAAATAATTTATTTGTCTGCCCTGGGAAGTCCCTCAAGTTAATCTTAAGATGACTGCCTTCTTCAGGATAAGAGCGTTCCAAAAATTAGCAATTTATTATTTCCCCTAACTCAGGATAAGCCTTCCAAAACTGGGAACTCTTGTACCACACGACTGATTTCTGAGCCTCAGAGACTGTTTCGTCCCCTCAACTCTTGTGTTGTAGGCTCCTGGAAGCCTCCCTCACGGCCTGCTGTCTGCTGGTGGCAATTATGTCTGATGGCGCCTCTGCGCCGTAAGTCCCTGGAGGGCTGACCTTTGTCATTCCACTTTGTAGCCTTAGCGCCTCTTGTTTGTTGGCTATGTCCATGGTTTTCATCAGTGAGATTCTAGCACTTTAGCATTACTATCTTGCACTCACAGTGAGGGCTCAATACATGTGATGATTAATAAATAAGCCAATGTGTAAGAACAAATCTACTAGCTTATAGAAAATACGTACATCAAGAATACAATCAGCAAATTTCAAGGTGTGGGAATTCTAAAATAAGAATGACCCAGATTTATTTAAAATAAATACATTTTAAATAAAAGAAAGACGTAACTGTTCTAGATCAAAGAGGTTTAAGAAAAATAGCCGCTGAATGCAATGTGTAGACTTTGGAGCCCAGTGGAAATAATCTGTAAAAATGTTTTGTAAATGATTAAGGCATGTTCAACACAACTGGTTATTGGATGATATTGTGGAATCATTTTTATTAGGCAATGCCAAAGAATGCTCAAACTACCACACAATTGCACTCATCTCACATGCTAGCAAAGTAATGCTCAAAATTCTCCAAGCTAGGCTTCAACGGTATGTGAACCGTGAACTTCCAGATGTTCAAGCTGGTTTTAGAAAAGGCAGAGGAACCAGAGATCAAATTGCCAACATCTGTTGGATCATCGTAAAAGCAAGAGAGTTACAGAAAAACGTCTATTTCTGCTTCATTGACTATGCCAAAGCCTTTGACTGTGTGGATCACAATAAACTGTGGAAAATTCTGAAAGAGATGGGAATACCAGACCACCTGACCTGCCTCTTAAGAAATCTGTATGCAGGTCAGGAAGCAACAGTTAGAACTGGACATGGAACAACAGACTGGTTCCAAATAGGAAAAGGAGTACGTCAAGGCTGTATATTGTCACCCTGCTTATTTAACTTATATGCAGAGTACATCATGAGAGGATGTACTCTTGTGCTGGAGGAAGCACAAGCTGGAATCAAGATTTCCAGGAGAATATCAATAACCTCAGATATGCAGATGACACCACCTTTATGGCAGAAAGTGAAGAACAACTAAAGAGCCTCTTGATGAAAGTGAAAGAGGAGAGTGAAAAAGTTGGCTTAAAGCTCAACATACAGGAAACAAAGATCATGGCATCCGGTCCCATTACTTCATGGCAAATAGATGGAGAAACAGTAGAAATGGTGGCAGACTTTATTTCTTTGGGCTCCAAAATCACTGCAGATGGTGACTGCAGCCATGAAATAAAAAGACACTCCTTGGAAGGAAAAGTTAATGACCAACCTAGACAGCATATTAAAAAGCAGAGACATTACTTTGCCAACAAAGGTCCATCTAGTTAAGGCTATGGTTTTTCCAGTAGTCACATATGGATGTGAGAGTTGGACTGTAAAGTAAGCTGAGCGCCGAAGAACTGATGCTTTTGAACTGTGGTGTTGGAGAAGACTCGTGAGAGTCCCTTGGACTGCAGGGAGATCCAGCCAGTCCATCCTAAAAGAGATCAGTCCTGGGTGTTCATTGGAAGGACTGATGCTGAAGCTGAAACTCCAAAACTTTGGCCACCTGATGCAAAGAGCTGACTCATTGGAAAAGACCCTGATGCTTGGAGGGATTGGGGGCAGGAGAAGGGGATGACAGAGGATGAGGTGGTGGATGGCATCACTGACTCAATGGACATGCATTTGGGTAAACTCCAGGAGTTGGTGATGGACAGGGATGCCTGGCGTGCTGCAGTCCATGGGATTGCAAACAGTTGGACACGACTGAGTGACTGAACTGAACTGAACTGGTTGGTTTTGTTTTTTCAAGTTTTTGCCTGGTAAAGATGGCGTATTTGTGGGTGAAATTACATGGTGTCTAGGATTTGATTTGATATCCTCCAGGGGGAAAAAAATAAATTCACTGTGGGGGAATATGTTGATAAGCTCCTGTTGTCATTCAGATCCTTTCTCCACCCTTCAATGCTCTGGCCCCTACCCTGAGAGCTGGAGCTGGAGGGACTGCCTCAACAAGAGTAAGCTCACCCCTGGTTTCCAGCTGCTTTCCAACAGAGGACTCCAGCAGAAGGAAAAGGAGGGAAGGTGAGAGGATAATGAGATTGGGACTGGCTATAACCTTCAACCCGAGGTCATTGCTTCTCGCAAGGTAGCATGCTGTACCCAAGACCTCTCTCCTTCTGGTAGCTTCTTCACCTTACACCTTCAGAGCTAGGAAAGGTCTCAGTTTTGGGACTGTTTGACCTGGATTCCTGCACAGCTCCTGTGGTTCCCCAACCTCCCACCCACTTTGTTATTAACTCCTTTATAAATTAACTTTCCTAATTATCCTATTGTGATTGTGATTGATTCAGGGAGCTAAAATAAGAATGGGAGAATGTTGGTAACTGAAAACTGCATGGTGAAAGCAGGTTTATTATACTTTTATCTCTACTTTTGTGATCACATATAAATGTACATAATAAAAGTTTTTAAAAAAGAAAACAGGGAATTCCCTTGTGGTCCAGTCATTAGGACTTTCACTGCTGAGGGCCCAGGTTCAACCCCTGGTCGGGACATTAAAGATCTGGTAAGCCATGTAGTGCAGCCAAAATAAAATAAAATGTTGGTATTTAAAAAAAAACAAATAAAAGAACATAATACTCTCTGAAGAAATTAATTACTAATAAAATTTTAGCATTTTGTCAGTTTTGGGTATTCAAACATACCACAAATTCAGGTTCATGTATATGCATATTTTATACTTTTCTCATGGCTTAGCTGGTAAAGAATCTGCCTGCAATGTGGGAGACCTGGGTTCAGTCCCTGGGTTGGGAAGATCCCCTGGAGAAGGGAACGGCTACCCACTCCAGTATTCTGGCCTGGAGAATTCTGTGGACTGTATAGTCCATGGGGTCGCAAAGAGTTGAACACAACTGAGCAACTTTCACTTTATACTTTTCAATATGGCAGTTATAAAGAGTGTGTTGCAATAGGAGTCTATTAGGCAAATGCAGTGAAGCTATTTACAAAGAAAGTTAAGGGATCAAAAGGAAGCTAAATTTCTAGGCTGACTTCTAGATGAGGGGACAAGTACTGTCTAAATTAATTCTAATCTATCTCTAATTTATTAGGTCTTCCTAATGATTTGCCCCTAAGCAAAGTATATCTTTTATTCATGTGAATGTTCACCTCAAGTTATCTTAGAAGCACAAAGGATAGCTTCTTTACGTTATCTTTCTCTTTGTGGGATGTTGGGCTGTGAGTCAGGAGAACAGGGGAGGGCAGAAGAAGAAGGGGAAAGGCTGTGGGGTCACTGACTCGGCATATACTGTGACCATACCTTTGAAAAACATTTTATCTTTCATTCATATCATTCCAACCAATCCAAAAAGTCCAGGCTATATCCCCCTGTCACTCTGTTTTTCTCTTGGTGAATGGTTACCCCTCAATGGATGTTTCACTATCGCAGAGTATAGGTATCCTTGAAACTCTGGGTCAGGATCAATTACATAATTTGCAGGACCAAATTATTTAATTTTAAAAATTAAAAATGTGAGGTGGGGCCCCTGCAAAAATGATTGAGAATTTCATGATGGTGACAGCAGGTTAGTACAGCAAGCACAAGGCCCTTCGGTGCCCAGAGCTTGGGGTGCTGGGCAACCACGCAGGTCCTCTGCCCGTGAGGCGGCCCTGGCCGGACCCTCACTTTTCTGGATTTGATGCACTGTTTCTCTCCAAACACTGGGAGATTAGCTCCTCTGCATTTCTCTTCCTATTCATTTTTCAATCCCTGCATTCTGATGAACAAACTGTAAAACATACCTTTTTCTCGACCCCAGCCAGAAATGATGCACTTATCGTTAGGCTGAAATAGATATGGAGACCATGGGACGCAGGCAGGGATGGATTTACTCAACACACATTCTTTTTGATTTGGGCGTTTTTTCATTTCAATCAAAGCTATGTCATTTTGGTAGGTAGTTCCATTGTAATTCTCATGGATAATAATTTGATTCACGAATTGAACAACTATCTCAGTGTCAGGTTTTAACCAGTCTGTAAATGATGTCCATAATTGGTAACGATGAATTCTGCTGACTCTGTAACAGATAGGAAAGGGGGGAAATATATTGAGTTGGGGGGTGGGGAAGCAAGTATAAATTGGACTTCTGATGCTTCATCTTTAAGTTCTCCCCGTTTAAGGAGCTTTTTCATTTTCCCAGATTTTTTTTTTAATCCCTGCTGCCATGAAGCATTGCAATGAAATTTTCTTAGGACAGAATTAAAGTCAGTGGATCAGTGTAGAAAGGAATAGCTCATATACCTGCAAAATATTAGGGACATAAAGGTCTCACTACTTACCAGAGATGCCAACAGTAGAATGAGTTGGCTGCCTCTGACATAAGAGCATGGGAATTGAGGGTATTTAAGCAGAAAGCAGAGAGCATCTAGCCAGTGATGTGCTTGAGGAAGTGGGGAGTCAGCGCACAGGATCCCAGAGGTTCCCAAGATGAAGACCTGGGAACCACCACTGTAACGTTTAAAACTGACTTCATCCTAACTTTGCATTGTATTTATTTGTTCAAGAACCTTTACTGGGTCTTATTTGTCTACAGAGAGATACTTGTGTTGAGTATTGTATCTGGAACACAGTAGCTGTTTTAAAATTTGGTCGAAATGGTGAATGGGCTAAATATTGCCTGTCCTCATGCCTCACTCCATTTTCTTACCAATTTTCACCTTGTGGTTTCCAGCAAATTTGGCATCTACTATTACTTTCTCGGGTCTCCCAGGTAGCTCAGCTGGTAAAGAATCTGCCTGCAATGCAGGAGACCCTGGTTCGATTCCTGGGTCAGGAAGATCCCCTGGAGAAGGGATAGGCTACACACTCCAGTATTCTTGGGGTTCCCTGGCAGCTCAGACAGTAAAGAATTCGCCTGCAATACAGGAGACCAGGTTTGACCCCTGGGTTGAGAAGAGCCCCTGGAGGAGGGCATGGCCACTTTAGTATTCTTGCCTGGAGAATCTCTATGGACAGAGGAGCCTGGTGGGCCACAGTCCATGGGGTCAAAGAGTCAGACAGGACTGAATGGCTAAGCACAGAACAGCTTACATCACTTTCTCAGGGAAACACCTTACCATTAAACAGTGGTGTCCTAGGAGCTAATGAGGTGTTCAGGATGTTTTTATTTACACTCAGTGTTCTAAGAATTAATAAGAACAGCATTCTTATTAATTTTGGTTATATTTCAGGATGAGAGGTCCTAAATATCGTTCAAAGGTTAACTGTTCATCCATTCAATTTACTTAATAAATGTTTAATGTGCCGAGTGTATGTAGGTAAGCCAATTAGGAAGCAGATGGTAAAATCCAGGAGAGAGGTGGCAGCATGGTAATAGTGGAGATAAGCAGAAACTTTGAGAATTAAATAACTGGCAATTAAAAACACCATCTGGAAGAAACTGTGGTACATATGTACAATGTACAATGGAATATTACTCAGCCATAAAAGGAAACACATTTGAGTCAGTTCTAGTGAGGTGGATGAACCTACAGCCTGTTATACAGAGTGAAGTAAGTCAGAAAGAGAAAAGCAAATACTGTATATTAACACATATATGTGGAATCTAGAAAAATGGTACTGATGAACTTGTTTGCAGGGCAGGAATAGAGACTCAGATAGAGAACAGACTTAGGACACAATAGGGGAAGGAGATGGTGGGATGAACTGAGAGAGTAGCAGTGAAATACATACACTAGCATGTTAAACAGGGAGCCAGTGGGAAGTTGCTGTATCGCGCAGGGAACTCATCCTGGTGCTCTGTGACAACCTAGAAGGGTGGGATGGAGGGGGAGGTGGGAGGGAAGCTCAAGACGGAGAGGACACATGTGTACCTATGGCTGGCTCATGTTGATGTACGGCAGAAACCAACATGACATTGTAAAGCAATTATCCTCCAATTAAAAATTTAAAAAAAATTTTAAATGACATCTGGAGCTGGTGATATACAGCTGAGCTGTGTGGTAGGGTTGAGGGAATGCAATGCGATCATTTCTAGATTTCGGCCTTGTGTAGCTAGATGGATGGTGTTGCCATCTGCTCAGAAGGGATCATTAGGTCAGGACAATATTTGGGGGAAGGGGCAAATCATGAGTTCAGTCTTATTATTATTTTTTATATTTAATTTGTTGGACGCAGTGTGGGGCAAGTGGGATCTTAGTTCCCCGACCAGGGATCAAACTGGTGTCCCCTGGCAATGGAAGTATGGAGTCTTAACCACTGGATCTCTAGGGAAGTCTCGGAGCTCAGCCTTAGACCTTTTGAATTTGATGCACTAATACTTCTGATACAGCCAAGATAGTGTGCTCTAGGGTCAGGGTTGGAGAAGACTAGGCTGGAGGTACCACTGTGTCAGCATATGGCAATATTTTAAAGTGCAGATAACTTTAGAAAGAAGAAGTCATGGACTTCCTTGGTGGTCCAGTGGTTAATGCTCTGTGCTCCCAATACAGGGGGCCTGGGTTCAATCCCTGGTCAGGGAACTAGTTCCCATGTGCCACAACTAAGAGCTCACATACTACAACTACAAGACCCAGTGCAGCCAAATAAATAAATAAATAAGATATTAAAAAAAAGAAAGAAAGAAAGAAGTCAGAAGAGAAGAGGAAGCCAGGATACACATCGAGGAACTTCAGTATTTCACTTGAGCCATAATGCTCAGTCACTGGAAGGGGAAGCTGCAAAGAAGGCAGAGAAGGTGTGACAGAGAGGCAGGTAGAAAACCAGAAGAGTGTTGTGTTACAGAAGCCAAGAGAAATGGGTCGTTCAGAAGGAAGAAATGAGATTTGGTCCTTTGCTCCAATCCATGAGGATTTTTATGGGTGTCATTCAACAGATTTCTTGACCCTCTAAAGTTTGGGTCACCTGCAGATTTTCTAAACAGGCCTGCCTCTAAGTTACTGTCAGATATGCTGAACTTGGTTTTACCCTGGCTCTGCTACAGATTGGGCTTCCCAGGTGGTGCTGTGGAGAAGAACCTGCCCGCCAGTGCAGGAGATACTAGACACGGAGGTTCGATCCCTGACCCGGGAAGATCCCATAGGGTAGGAAATGGTAACCCACCCCAGTATTCTTGCCTGGAGAACCATGGTCAGAGGAGCCTGGAGGGCTACAGTCAGGTAGCTACAGTTATGGGGTCGAAAATAGTTGGACAGGACTGAAGCAACTTAGCACACACGCAAGCTCTGCTACAGACTTGTAGTGCTGTTTTAGCCAAGGTATCTGACTTCTGGTTTCAGTCTGCCCATCTAGAAAATGAGAGGAATAATATTTGCCTCTCGAGAATGTTAAGAATGCTAAAATAACGTCTATGAAAGCTCTGAGCATGGTATCTGGTCTGTAAGAGGTACTCCATAAATGGTGTTTCATTCATTCTGACCTTTGGGTCAGAACTGAAGCCAGAATTCTGAACTCTGTCCTCCAGGCTGACCCTGACCCATGCAAATGAGCCAAGTGAAACAGCTTGCACCTGCAGGTTCGATCCGCCCTGCCAGCTGAGGTCAACAGCTTGGTCTGTGGGGAACCTAGTGGGTCCTGAGGAACTGGCCTCTGGCCTCCTGATGGTGAACATCAGAGAGGTGTTTAGCAGACAATAGAGCGGAACTTAGCGATTTTTCTTACATAGGTTTTTATTTATCATTTTACTGTATCACAACCTCTGTTACCTAATTTCATTGACTCAGAAATCAGGAATCTACTGGAGAGGGTTGTTGTTTTTTCACCTGACACAATGTGCGGCGGTCAGAACCCAGCAGCCACCGATGTAAATTCCTCCACAGTGGATTTTGTCACCTTCCTTGATTGCCACCTGCCATGGGAAGTCTCCCTGGAAAGACATTCATGTTGTCACGGCCATCCTGCCGGACAGGTGGCTTGAAGATTTCCATTGCAAAGTTCTCAATCTCTAATAATTTCCATCCCTCCCCCCGACTTTCCCCCCCCCCCCCCAACTTGGGTGGCTCCTGGGAAATGACATTATAACTTTTTGTGCGGGTTTACCATTTTTGCTGGCTTGCCTCCTACGACTCGCTTCCTTCGAATGTGCATGTTGTTTTTAACTCCACAGGATAGTTTAGGCAAAAGTGACTTTGTAAATTTTCTTTCTTTAAGAAAAGAAGAGATTGTATCATTATGATTTTTGAAACCATTACCTTCTGGGCAAACTTCTTGATTATCTATGCCACAAAAACAGCAGAGTCACAACAAATATGAAGCAGCCCAGTTTCATTAGTAAGCTATGTTGGATGCTATTCACCTTGCTTAAAAATTCTGGCTTAATGTTAAAAATTAAGCTTAAAATTGGCTTGATTCTCTGACGTTCTACCTAAAGGTGGACTCATGGCAGAAGGAGATTGCCTGAGGGGTTATACATTGACCAGCCTTTGGCAGATAAGAGAAGCCACACGCCCAGACATTACTACTGTGACAGTTCAAGATGGGGTGACACCTCTGGATGAGGTTCACCAACAGAACTCCAGAGTCTCACTTTCATAGTTTTTACTTTCTAGAGACTGTTTATGTGGGACTCTTCGGTAATATTAATACTAACATTAATGATGTTAATGTTGAGTTCTTTCTGTGTGTCAGATCCTATACTAAATACTTTGTATATAGCTTGTATCACTTAATCATCATATTAACACTGAGAGGTACCATGCCAGGAGCCCCTGGACAATCCAGGATCAGTAGGCTGGGAGGGAGCTGTGTTTTTAGCTGCTTAACATGTGATGGTGTTTCCTTCCTCGGTGAGCACTCAGACATAGCACACTTGTCACTGGGAGGCATGCTAGAGTCAGGCTTAAGACATGAATTTGCAAGGGAATTCATGACAAAGGAAGAAAGTAAAAGTATAAGATGCTCTTCTTATAATCTCGCTCTATTTTATCATGTCATGAAAATTTTTGTAAACTTGCTTCTTAGTCCCAAATGAGAAATGAAAATTAATATCACTGTCAATTACTTTGAGCACATAAGAAAGAAGTTCTACAGAAGTTGTGAACAAACGTGGATAAAAGATTTTGGGGGAGTCCCATCCAGCCTAAGAACTGGGTTAGGGGAAGAGTGTGATGATAAATTTTAAATTTCTGCTTGTACCTTTAAGAAGGGAGACCCCCATCTATTGAGGACTGTCAAATCAGCTTGGATTGAACCTGAAAATTAATTTATTACCCTGAGTAGAAAATAAAGGGCCTTTGTTGGAAATCCCTCTGACTGATTTGAGTTCTAAATCTTCCACCCATTGCCTGATTTTTAAAAAATTGCTGATGAACTCTGGGGCCTGGCAATCAGAAGATAGTCTTACATGAGCTTCAGTTTTCAGTCCTCCTAAAATAGGGAGGTATTTCACTCCCAGTTGTATTTGAGCTTGTTACTAACCTAAGGTCACACAGCTAACAAATAACTAAGTCAGGACTTAATACGTCAGCTTGACTCAAAAATTCCTATCAGTTACTGTCTTCCCAGGAGCTTAATACTTTATTTAAATTTGGCTCTCAGTGTAAACTTGGTCAAAAAACAGATCTTCACAGACTTCCTGTTATCATGGTTTAAAATATTGCAAAAGAATCTGTTATTTTTGTACTTAAAATGTGTGTCCTGGGTCACACATGCAATCTGGTTGGCTTTGACAAAACTGACCTGATAAAGCTCATAGCAAATAGAAAAACTGTATGTAGAACTAGACTATTTTTTTCATTTCAAAATAAGCCATGTATATTAACCCATTTTAAAAGTAGTTCTCAAGAAGTATTTAAGCTTGTTTTTCTTAAAAATGATAAGAAAGGTAGTAATGGTTTTTTGTATTTAAATTGAAATCAAAAGAAATTGGTACTTAAATCAATTATATTGCATATATGCATATATACTAACATACACGCACATGACATTAAAATGCAAATTTGACCAGTGAAGCACTAGTAAAAAAGAATAATGTTAACTTACCTGCATCCATATCAGCAGTCAACATTTCTGCTTCTTCTAGAATCAAACAAAAGTTCTAATGTTTAAGTTATGTTTATAGTAAAAATTAAATCATTAAAATCATTTAAACTTTGATAATAATTTTCTGCCTAAATTTTGTCCTACCTTTAAAAAGGACAATACAAAATCATCTTATTTCCTTTCTGTAGGTAGGTAACTGTGAAGGCTCAAGACACTGACCAAAAGAGTCTTGAGCTGACATTAAAAAGGGTCTTCACATTTTGTATATAGTAAGGTATCTCTTAACAGGGGTCATGCAATATTTCATCAGTTTCAGTATCCAGCAGGGTTATTATTAGTCATCTGGGATGCAGAAGTCAGAAGTTAAACAAAAACAAGAACAGATTCGCTCTTCTTTTTCTTTCTTAGATTTCGGCCTGAAGTTATACAGGATGATTCCATCTTCACTCTGCTGTCCTAAAACATTTCAGTTGTGAACAGAATCATGATTTCTTTGACCTGAGCATCCAAAGGTGAATTCCACAATAGGTTGCTCTGTTTTGGATGAGGTTGCAGCCCAGAGAGGCAATGTTACTTTGCTGCAGTAGTCCTGTGTATTATTACTGCACTTCCCAAATTTTTGGGAGGGGAAGACTTACATGTATCTGTTACACTACACCCCTAGGTTATTTTCTGCTCAGAGCTTTCACAAAGCAGTAACATAAACCAAAGAGAAGACTTCATATTAAATGCTCAACAAAGGGCGATGAGGAAAGTCCAGTATAGCTGAGATATACTGGATATTACAAGACGAGCAGAAAGCTCCAAAGCACAGATCATAAGAAAAACAATCAATGACTTTGATTAAATAAAGATTTAAAAATTTAAAGATTTAAGACTTCTATTCAACAAGGCTCACTATGGCCAAAGTTAATAGGTGGGTGACAGAATGGAAGAAGGTATTTGCATGTCTAAAATGGAAAATGGACTAATATCTAGAATGCTAGAAGAAAGAAGACTGTGGCCCCAATATGAAATGAGGCAAAAGATGGGAATTGGCAAAAGGATAGACGACAAAGAAGAGGAAACTCAAAGGGCTAGTATGCATGTGAAAAGAAACCCAGAATCATTGGTTATGACAAAAGTTCAAATGAATAAGCAATGCCCTATCACTTGAGAGTATGAGACCAGCAAAATTAGAAAGCTGGGTGGTACTCAACGTTAGCGGTGCGGAGGTGCCCCTTGGGGGGTATTGGTGGAGGTAAGCAGCTCAGCCACAGAATGTGCAGGCACTAGTTTGTCAAATGCCTCTAACAATTTCTGGCCCAGCTCGATGCCTCAGAGAAATCTCCCACACATCCTTAAGGAGAGGATATTCACTGTTGCACGTGAGTGTGGGCTGAGAGTCCAGTACTGAGCAGGTAGAGAGTAACTTGTGGAAGATGAACACCACGTCGTGTTTTATTGTGTGGCAGTTAGAAGCAACAGATTAGACAGAAACATCACAACATGGACAGGTCTTAAAAATGTAATGCTTTGTGAAAAGATGGAAAGGAAATAGAGGATACACAACACTGTACTGTGTGAATTACAAATGTACCCTCACAAGATAATAACCAACCCTGGATATACGAACAAAAAGACACACATGTTAAATCACATTACAGTGGTTGCTGTGGGGAATGAGCGAGTCTAAGGTACAGCAGTAATGGAGAACCAATGCAGCAAGAGAGGGACCTTGCCTGAACCAGAGATGACCGTGTGCAGGTCATGAGTGTCACTAACTCATCACTTTGCACCTGAAGTCTGAAACTAGAAAGGAAGGAAGGGCAAGAGGGAGGGAAGGGGGAAAGGAGTTAAGAAGAGGAAATGAACAAACAAATACCAAAATGAAGCAAAAGGGACAGCAGCAGCCTTGGAGGGCAAAATGACAAGAGGGAGGGAATACAAAGAAACAGTTGAAATTAGCCATTTAGGACAAGGATGATCTTGAGTATGTAAATGTTACTAAGGAATCCTGAGAAATCCTGAGGAGGATCAAAAGCTTCTGGTGGTCATTTTCAATGAATAACCAAGAAAAGGATGACTCTAAAGAGCTGGAAGATTTGGGGATGTCTGTTATAAAAGTAAATAAGAAAATACCTAAGGTGAAAACATGTTATCTTTCCTCTGGTGATAGTTTCTTCAGCAGTTGCCTTGGTTTTGAGGAGAAAGGAAAGGTAGAGAAGGATATTTGGCAGAGGTGCAATGTGCAGAGAAGGCGCTTGGCAGGCTGTGAGCAGGGAGTGTGGGAAGGAAAGTTTACCCCACTGCGGGATAAGGCCTCTGTGTCTAAGCAAACGGTGAAATTGGTCATATATATCATCCTCGGTTAACGATTACCTTCAAATATAACAATATAACATAAAAGCAGTGCTTGTGTTTTGTTTCAATTCTGCAAAATCCCAAGACTTTAATAAAATTTTTACTTTGAGCTACAAGTCAAGGACATGAAAAAAAAAAAACAAAAAATTTACCACAGCAAAGCATCATTTTTACTTGAAAAAAAAAGAACAACATACCATTTCAAGCTAGGACCCCTTATTCTTCTTTTCAATTCTGTAATATAAATTTTCTATGATAAAAGTATATTTACCTTTAATTTCAAGATGTCGAGTTCCTAAAAACAAAAGGAAAAAACTCACTGTAGTAAAGAGATCATTTTCACTTGAATTAAATGTACACTAATCATCAATTTTCAGTACAGTATAACAACTTAACATTTATAAAAAGACAAAAGGGACCCATTGTATGCCACTTTTTGTAGCAAATGCTTTGATTTTTAACAGTGCCTAACAAATGTTTCCTCTTACATTTAAACACACACCAATTTTACCACAGCAAGGAAATCATTTTCACTTGAGTTTAAAAGAGATTTATATGTTAGATATATTTGAATACATACCTAACAGCAGATTTATTATATACTTAGACAAAAATTTATTTACTCTTTTCTAACTCATGTTAGGAAAAAGTTTATAAAGGATAAATGAAATTAAGATCTATTCCAAACCTCCCTTGGCTTAGTGATTCTGATCTGTTCTCTGAAAGGAGAAATCAATGAATATATTAATATATTATTTCACACCTCTGCTCTCACTTGTTCTTTCTTAGAGAGGGAAAAATTAGGATCATTATTGAAATGCAAATCAGAGGTCACTCTAAAGACAGATAAACTGAAGTAGCAACAGCTGACTAAATGTATTTTTGATATGGATTCAAGAAGTTAATACTAAAGGGAAGCTTTAGGTTGCACTTACTCCCTTGCAGTAGGATTTTTTTTTTTTTTATGATAAACTAACAAATTCTGAGGAGGAGGGGAGGAAGGAAGAGGGGAAAGAAGAGGAGAAAATAGATAAGAAACCCCAAATATTATACTGAAACAGTGAAATCAAACTGTCGAGCTTCAGAGAGAGACAAATACTATATGGTTTCATTTGTATATGGCAGCTGAAAAATCAAAATCCATAGAAAAAGGGATGGGGTTTGTGGCTACGAGAGGCAGGGGTTGGGGAGTGGGGAATTGGGTGAAGGTGGGGAACAGCTGGGTGAAGGAGGTACAAAAGGTGCAAACTTGCAGTTATCAGATAAATAAAGGACATCTCTGGTGGTACAATGGATGGGAACCCGCCCCAGTGCAGGGGACGCAGGTTTGATCCCTGGTCCAGGAAGATCCCACATGCCCAGGAGCAACTAAGCCCGTGAGCCACACTGCTGAGCCTGTGAGCAGGGGAACTGCAGCTACTGAAGCCGATGCACCCGGGAGCCTTGCTCTGCAACAAGAAGCCCCCGCAATGAGAAGCCCAGGTACTGCAGGGAAGAGTAGGCCTCGCAAGCTGCAACTGGAGAAAGCCTGTGCCCAGCAACAAAGGCCCAGCACAGCCAAAATTAAGATAAAAAAATAAATAATTTAAAAAAAGATAAATAAGCACTGGGGGTGGACTGCAAAGAATGGTGATCATAATCACTATGGTATATTTAAAAGCTGCTTAGAGAGTAAATCCTGAAAGTTCTCATTATCAGGGGAAAAAATTGTAGCTACGTTAGGTGATGGATATTAACTAAACTTGCTATGGTAATGATTTTGCAATATACGTATCAAGCTCACCTTAAAGTTACATTGTTGTATGTCAAGTATATCTCAATAAAACTGAGGGTGGTAATGTCTTCCTCCCTGAAAAAAAATTTCAAATTTCTTTCTTTCCTTTCTTCACTAAGGACTTAACTACAGTTAACCAACATGAAAGTAGTTTGCTCAACTGCTTTATAACCTTGAAAAGAAATGACATGATTTGAAATCCTAAAACCTTAGGAACTGATATCAATGGAAAATTAAGCAAAATTTCATCAAAGTCAAATATTAATACTTGGCATATCAAGTAATTATACATAATATAACTAATATCAATGAACTTATCCATACATATCTCCAGCATTTACTTAATGCTTATGTAAAGGCATTTTACCGGGGGCATTTGGAATGTAAAAATAGGTAGACTCTGTTTTAAAGGCATGTACTGTTGAAAAGGGGAGGTAAGGCACGTATAAAGCACTACGATAAACCATTAACAGTAATGCAGGGGTGTCCTGACACAGACACAACCACTTCACAAGAGGCTGCTGTGTCACTTCCCAGCTTGTGTTCTGTGACATCATGTCAATGGCTTGAGATCACCCATGGTGGGAACCATTTAGACCACAGAAATGAGCAAAAGCTACAAATCAGGGAGTCCCTCTCCCTCTTCAAAGCCGACTGTTAAACATTTACCAGCACACCACCGGATTCGCTCTGTGTGAGTAAGGTGGATGCAAGGACCCACACACACTCCTCCAGCAGCCTTCCCAATCTTTGAGGAAGGGAGCTCCATCCTTTCCGTTCTCGGGCCAAAATCCCTGCAGTCATCATTGACTGCTCATTTGTTCTCACACCCCCATCCAGTCTATAAGTGAATCATATCCAACCAGTCCATCCTAAAGGAGATCAGTCCTGAGTGTTCATTGGAAGGACTGATGTTGAAGCTGAAACTCCAATACTTTGGCCACCTGATGCAAAGAGCTGACTCATTTGAAAAGACCCTAATACTGGGAAAGATTGAGGGCAGGAGGAGAAGGGGACGACAGAGGATGAGATGATTGGATGGCATCACCGACTCGACGGACATGGGTTTGGGTGGACTCCGGGAGTTGGTGATGGACAGGGAGGCCTGGCGTGCTGTGGTTCATGGGGTCGCAAAGAGTCGGACACGACTGAGCAACTGAACTAAACAGAACTGATGACTGCTTCTCATCATTTCCATTCCTACCAGCTTATTTTAGTCACTGTCATCTTCCTGGGATTGCTCAGTAGCTTCATTACTGCTTCTCCCTGCTTCTCCCTCACCCTCATACAGCCTACTCCCCACGCAGCAGCCAGAGTAATCTTGATTTAAAATGTAACTCAGATCATGCTGTTCCACAGCTTAGAGTCCCCATTTCATTCCTTAACAGACATCCTTAGATCTGCCCTGATCACCCCAACCAAGCACCTCTCCAACCTCTCCTATTGCCCATTTTTTTTTTTTAATTTATTTATTTGGCTGCCCTGGGTCTCAGTTGCAGCACATGGGAGCTTTTAGTTGTGGCATGTGAACTCTTAGTTGGGGAATGTGGGGTCTAGTTCCCTGACCAGGACCTGAACCTGGGACCCTTGCACTGGGACCATGGAGTCTTAGCCACTGGACCCCCAGGGAAGTCCCCTCCTGCGTGTCTCTTAATCTCTCACTCTGCACAGCTGGGACTCCTGCCACATGAGCCTCCTTGCTGACTGTCCCTCAAACATACTGGAATGTTCCTATCTTAGCAGAACCACACTGGTTGTTGCCTCTGCCTAGAGCACTCTTCCGCAGACTTCTGTATGGCTGGATCATCATTTCCTTCAGTTCTTTACCTAAAAATAAAAGTGAGTGAGCCTTCCCAAGCCACCTTATCTAAACTTCCAGAATTTATCTCCCCCTTTTATATCTTCCTTTCCTGCTTTTTTTAGAAAAGTACTTACTATTTTACTAGATATTTTTACTTATTTTTCTTTATTGTTTCTCTTCCTCCACTAGAATATAAGATGTATGAAGGTGCAGGTATTTTGAAATGTCATTCACAGTGGTAATCCCAGTGTCTTAGAATAGGAACCAGCACACACAGTAAGAACTCAATAAGTATCCATTGGGTAGATGAATAAATATATTAACTTAGGAAAATTTTTCCTCCAGAATGCATTAATGGGAGCATGAAGTCAGTCTGGGTGGGATGCATTAGGTTCAGTTCAGTTCAGTTCAGTCGCTCAGTCATGTCCAACTTTTTGCTACCCCATGGACTGCAGCATGCATTAGGTACCTAGTAGATATTCACCACCTTTGGAGGTTTTCCAATGAGCGCTAAAAAACAAAGAGCACCTGCTCACTGCTTTGAAATTTAGTAAGCAAAAGGAAGGAATTAAATATCACTTTGCCTTTCAATAATGAACTGCATTTCATGGAAACAAAATAGTTCTTCTCTACAAGATTCCAGTTAATAAATGCAGAAGAAATGTTGAATTAGAAATTGCCATTTTTTAAAAGAAGAGAGGAGGGATAAATTAGGAGTTTGGGATTAATAAACACAGACACAGACATACACACACACACCCCAACACACAATGGATAACCAACAAAGACCTACTGTATAGCACAGGGAACGATATTCAATATATTGTAATAAACTCTAAGGGAAAGGAATCTGGAAGAGAATATGTGTGTATATATATATATATATATATATATATATGGATATATATATCCATAACATATCCATTTAACATATATATATATATCCATTTAACATATATATATATATATATGGATATATATCACTATGAAGTGAAGTGTTAGTCGCTCAGTCGTGTCCAACTCTTTGCGACCCCATTGATTATAGCCTGCCAGGCTCTTCTGTCCATGGAATTTTCCAGGCCAGAATACTGGAGTGGGTAGCTGTTCCCTTCTCCAGCGGATCTTCCCAACCCAGGGATTGAACATTGCAGGTTCAATTCTTTACCACTGGAGCTATCAGGGAAGCCCACACCTAAAACTAACACAATATTGTAAGTTGACTATACTTCAGTAAAATCTTTAGAAAAAGAAATTGCCATTTTACAGGCCCTATTGACAAATTGGATCTAGGCAATAATTACAAAGCCTGCTAAAACCCCTGGATCAAATAATAATAATAATAATAAAACACAACCACAAAACTTTAAATTACCTTCACAACCAACTTCGTCTTCTCCCGTAATACAGTCCAGCTCACCATTGCATTTATACTGCTTTGGAATACAAACACCCGATTTACAGAGAAAACCTTCACCTTGGCAGTCTGTGCAAACACAAATAGAAGAGGGGATGAAAATTTCTTTTCATTCTTAAAATGCAATGAGATGGGATCTTAAATCAATGGGAAAGTTGCTTCTGTTTTCTAGAAGAAAGCACTTGGGGGTTTAAAGGCTGGGTTCATCTCTACCTTTACAGCACAGCTCATCACTGTTGTCTACACAATCGTTGACCCCATCACAGGCCTTCTTCTGAGGAATGCGTTTCCCATTCACACATTGAAAGGAGTCCTTTTTTGGAGGAGCTGTAAAATAGAATTGTCTCTGTGAAATTTATTTATGAGGTTGTGGATGACATCTTTATCACTTGTTTGGAATAAAGGGGGCATGAAGATAAAGTCAAGCACAAATAAAAAGTGATATAAAATGCATGAGTGGTAGCATTAACATAATATATTAATAGGGAAAATAAATGCCAAAGCTGGTTTATGGAGGTCCTTTGATAAACTCTGAAAGCCAGCATTTATTGTGGAGGTTTCTTCTGAGACTGGGGCAGGGGATCTGGGAATCCGGAGCCCTTGCTGACACTGGTGAACACTGGTGCCCATCCACTCCTTCATGCTGACCCAGCCCCACCCGAGGCTTACCTGGGCAGTGCCATTTACATTTTGATGGCTCTCTTTTTTTAGCACCAAATCAAAAGATTTGATCTTTAACACTATATATATAGCTAAAATATTCCAACATCAGGATGAAGGAGGAAAGTGGCAGTGATTGTCTCAAGCATAGATGTGACCACTTAACCATTTTAAAGGAATATGTAATTGGCTGGACTCCTCAAAGGAGATGCTGAGTTTCTTCTAATATTTACTTGTGTTTGCTACATCAATTTTAATCCATATGTTCCAAGAATCAAAGTGGAATCAAACAACCTTACTTTCCATGTAGGAACCAGGATAGAAGTAATATTTGAATGGGAGAAAGGTACAATAGGGGAAAAGCACCAATTTGGGCTCTAAAACCCAAAACGTGATTTTGTCATTGTGTGTGACTGGAAACAGGGTATCTGTAATTTGTTTGTTTACTACAGACTTGGTGTGAAATAAACAATCTCTAAGGAAGGGAAAATATTGGGCAAGTACTCCACTAACCTGCACTCTCTGTGTAACACACCATGCCAGCCAACCCCTTCAAAATGTTGATTACTCCCTTAGTGAAAGTACATTCAGCCAAACTGGTCTCTAATCCTCGACAATGCACGTGCAGACATTCAGCAGAATTTAGATCAGGATCTCTTCTATGAGTATCAAGAGCACCTCTGCAAATCAAATAAATGAAACGTTAAAGTAGAATAATTAGTGCTTTGTGCTTATAATTCTACTGTAGGAGGTGAGGGACTAATTTCCTTTTATCTTCTATGTGTGGGTGATAGGTTAGGCAAGATGCTTACATTCTCTGAGCTTCCACATCTTCCCCAGTAACAAGGAGTTACTGGGGAGTAACTCCTGAGTAACTCGCTGAGTTTTGTAAAGATAAACAAAAACAATCAATTTAAACTGACTGGAAAAGTTTAAAATACAACAAGCAACCAAAAATATTGGTTTCTCCTCCTCTGTTTCTTGTTAAGAAGAAATGTCTCTTTGATCAAACATTCCTGATTTCTTTCCAACCTGAGATGTGTCATCCTTGGCCTCTCTACTGGTTAACTCCTCTTTTCTCCAGAAAAGGGAGAAGATTAATTTGATTAGGGAATCTTGGAAATAAAAAGCAGGCCAGGTCAACCCTGCTCTTCCATTCTCACCCTGCCCCATGCTGAGTCTTACCTGTTTGGCCCCACGGTTACCTGGGATCAGGGAGGTTGAGTTAGTTTAATTCTAACAGTTGGCTTAATTCTCTACTTTTATGCTAAGCTATGGCCTCAATTCAGTCTTAACAGTGTTCAGTGGTATTTTGACATTTATATGCCATTGCTTGGACTTCTCATTTTGTTCAGAATTTGTGTAGCTAAGAGGCTACCTCAATGACCCAATATCCTAGAGATGGTGAGTTACAGTGAGCTTCCAGAACATTCAATTGCTCTCTGCTTTTCTCTAGAAGTTAATGGGGGAAATGGGTTAAAAATAAAAGGTTCAGCAAAGATGCGCGAGGCAAATGTAAGCAAAAAATTAAGCTGTAATGGCAATATAAATATCTGATAAATTACAATGAAAGGGAAAAAGAGAGCAATTAAAGGGAACAAAGAAGTTCTGATCCATAATGAAGATATAGTAGTTATGAAACTGTGCCAAACTGAGTCGAAATATGAGAACAAATGGGAGTCATTTGGGGCAGTCTGACAGGTGAATTATCTGAGAAACCTCTCAATGTATGACTATCTGAAACTACTAGATAAACGCCCTCAATGAGCTCTTAAGGAATTAGGGAAATACCCACTGGCTAAATAGAGAAGTCTGTTCATGAGTTTATACAAAGTATGATAAGAACAAAATACCGGGAGATCAAAGAGTGAGAGAGTTCGCCGTTAGGTTGAATCATAGGTTGTAGGTCACAAACTGTCAAAAATAAGAACTACCTCATGACTCAATTTAACCATAAGAGACTCTCACTAATGAACTACCAGCAAATGTGGTTTAGGAAGAAGAAAATTGAATGAAAAATGAAGAAGTGAGATGCAAGAAGAAACAACAAACCAAGAAGTTGGCAAACATGAAGTCCATCTGAATAACCACTGACTGAACCGCAGTACTGATAATTGCTTATTACATGATGATAGCAATTAACTTCAGGAATACATACAAATAAGGTGGAACAAAGTACTGAAAAGTTGATATAGTAATGACATTCTTTGTATTATTTCTGAAGAGGGCAAGGACTTCATAAGTTAAGGATTCATGATATAAACATGAAAATAATCATTAATGGAATAGAAATAGGATGTATGTAATTTTCAAATCAAGTAGAGGAAGAAAAAGAAGATTAAGAAAACAACAACAGCTTTATTAATCCAACAAAATTTTTAAAAGGAAGAAATAAGAGGATATGAAAAGGGTAAATAATAAGCCCCAAATGAGACAGGAAAATCAACAATGTGAATAATCACAATAATGTAAATGGACTAACTCTTCAGTTATCATCATATTGTATTTTAAAAAAAACGGTATGTGCTGTTTATAAGGGACACACTCAAAGATAAAGACCCTGAAAACTTATAAATAAATAAATGGGAAAATAGTTGAATAAAGCAATTGACATGCTTTTTTATTCTAATGGAATAAAAATTTTTATTCTAACGCATCCATTATGTAGAACCCTGCATATGAAGCATTTGAAATATACTCAGTACAAAGGAAGTCTCAAAAAATATTTAAACAATTGTCCTCATGTGGAGAAATTCTCTCTCCACAACACAATTAAATAGGAAATTTATAACAAAAAGTTAACCAAAAGCAAACTAATATATTCATTAGGAAAGTAAAAAAGAAACTTCTAAATTATGTTTGAGTCAAGGGGGAATTATACTGAAAATTAGAAAATATTTTGAACTGAACAATAAATGGAATACTCACCTGTAAAGGCATGCAGATGAAGCGTTAACTGGAGGGAAATTTGTACCTTAAATGCTTACATTAGAAAGTGAGAAAAACTGAAAATTGAGAAGCTAAGCATTTAGCACAGAATTAGAAAAAGTACAATAGGGAAAAGCAGAGAGAGAGAGAGAGAGAGAGAGAGAGAGAGCCAAAGATAACAGCAAACATTAATGAAAACAAAGAAACAAGAGAAAATTTACAAATATAAAAGCGAAAGACAATCAAATAGACAAATCTTTGCAAGGTTGATGAGAAAAAATCAGAAAGAAAGAGTATACAAACAACATTAGGTACGAAGGAATGGACATAATCATAGATGAAGAGAGACAGTTATGCACCCAACAGTATGGATGCAAATGTAGAGTATGCAACTCTACGGAGCAGCAAAGGATTTGCATCCAGAGACCTGAGTAAACCTACAGCCTGTGCGCTCAGCAGTGTTCTAAGTACCAGTCAAGCATAAACACATTTCATCCTCATGACTACACTGTGAGGCAGGTAGTTATTATTCTCAGGTTACATTTGAGCAAGTTGAGGCATGGAAAGACAGGGTAATCTAAAGACAAATAGTTGGAAGGATAAAATCAGCCCTGGGAAAATTCAGTGGGCAAGCACTCACAGTGGAAATCCAAGGTCAAGGCAGGCCACGTTGGCCTGAGTAATGCTCCAGCTGTCTCCACACACAAACATTTTTCTATCTTGGTCTGCAAGTTTTACTGCAACAACTCCTTCTGAATCTCGTTTTCCATTTGACAAGGAAACACTAAATTGCCCTAAAATTAAAAAAGATTTTTTTTTTTAGAGAATTAGCAATAGTCAGGCATTCATTTTTTATCCTCTTGATTAAAAGCCTCTAAAGAAATAAAATGCATAATTTTTAATTAACTTTGAACACTATGAAGATGCTAACAAATAATGGTAAGCAATTATTTTATGAATTTATTATGTATCAGTGGCTAGGATACCCAGTTGTAAAAAAAAAAATCATAAAATCCTCACGTCAATTTTATGAAGACTACGGTGATATTTATTCCCGTTTTTACACATGAGGAACCTACATTTATCCAGTTTTATACATGAGATTAAGTGGCTTGCTCAAGGTGTGAAGCCAGGAATCTGTACTTGCTGTATTGATCTGACTCCAAAATCCATGCTCTTAAAAGTAAGCCAAACAAGTAAAGGAAATGTAAGAAAGGTTTATGTATTCTCACATACTTAAGGCACTGCATGCCTGAAAGAGGACGGAAGTCTGACACCGACAGAATAATCTGCACTACCACTTTCCTCCTCTCCAACAGGTAAGGGAGCTGGGCTCGGGGATCTCCCTTCCTTCCGTCCACAGTACCTCAGCATCTTAACTCAGCAATGCAAAAATATTTAGGTTACTGTGTTCTGGTGCATGTCATGGTATCTTTAAAAAGAATGTTTCAAGCATTCTTCTGTAAATTCATGAAATGCCTGTGATAATTCATATCCAAAGACAATGAGCTTGAAACTTGCTGTCATAGTTCAAATTTCATGAGCACTTCTTGTTCACTCTTCACAGAGCTTCAGGGACATTGCTTAAGTTTCACAAGAGTCTGATGAGTTAGGAACTACTGTTGCTAACATTTTATAGATGCGGAAACCGCAGTCTAGAGAGGCCGCACAGCTTGGCAGTAATGGAGGGGGTGCTTGGAGGGGCTTGCAATGAAACTGACTGACAGTGAGACCCTTAATCTTATTTTTTTTGGTTGCGTGGGTCTTCATTGCCCCACATGGGCTTCTCATTGCAGGGGCTTCCCTTGTCGGGGTACACAGACTGTACGGTGAGTGGGCTTCAGGAGTTGTGGCTCCCCGGCGCTAGAGCACAGGCTTGGTGGTTGTGGTGCATGGGCTTAGCTGCTCCAAGGCATGTGGGGTCTTCCTGGACCAGGGATTGAACCCATGTCTCCTGTATTGGCAGGCCGATTCTTTACCAATGAGCCACCAGGGCAGCCCAAGAGTCTTTTCATCTTAATCACTCCACTAGCTCACATATTAGGGTCCCAGCCTCCTCGCTACATCAGGCACCTGGATGAAGTCTTGACTTGTCTGTCTCTCTGATCTGGTGTGTTGTCACTTGCTAGGGTGGAGTATGTCCCCGGCCAGCAGTGGCCTGAGCTAAACCCCGGATCAAGGCTGATGAGGCTGGGGCTAGGGAGAGGGGTAGGGGTTGGTGGGATGGAAACTGGAATAAATGATTGGGGTTGGGGGTCCAAAGATGTTCTATTTAAGTAGCAATCTCATGTAAAGCATTTCCGCCTGGGTTCTAAAGCAACTCAACAGCTCTGGGAATAATCCCTTTAGCCAAGTAGAAGTGAGAAAAGGGATGGTTCTGACGGGCTGGGCAGCAGAGACTGGCATAGGCCCTGAGGGGGTGGGAAGGACCAGCCACAGGATCACATGCTCTAGATTCAATGGCTGGCTGTATACTGATGATTCCTGATTTCTTTATTATCACCCCAACTACTACTGAGGGTCTAGAGAAGAATTTTGAGTTGTCATTATAACATTTTGAAGGAAAAGTATTTTCTAATAGAAAATATAGTAGACAATTTTCTTCTTAATATAGTAAACTAGGCTTTTCCTACCTTCACCCGTGCATGCTCCACTTTTTAAAAACTTTGCCTCAGGACGAAAGCATTCAAAACTCTTCTGCTGACAGTAAGTTGGGTAGCTTTTCCCATTAGTTGAACACACCCTGGTACCATTCTTTGGGCACTGATAAGGAAGTTTACAAAGACACGTCCCATCGATGCATTTCTGCCATGGTTGGCAGAAGACCTTTTCGCAGGAGAGATGTGTGTATTTTGCAGTTAAGCACTTTTTATCCACGATATCTTTTTGAGATGTGCCTGGTGTTGAAGCGGGCTATAAAGCACAAAATAAACATTAACTTAGCAACAAGCTAAAATCTTTTTAAAGATGAATACCTGAAGGAAAGAAACCAAACATACTCACCTACTCCACAGCATTGATGAGGGTGATGTGGTCTGGTGGTTTTTAGACTCAAACAACCCTGGCTTTCAGTCCCAACTTGGGCACTTACAGTTAAATGGTCTTGAGCAAGCTACCTACCCTCACAAAACATGAGCTTTCTCATCTGTAAAATGAGGATATTATCTTCTCTCTTACAAGGTTATTGCAAGGATTAGAAATAAGATGTGTATAATGGTTGGCAGGTACTAGGCATGAAATCAGTGGGAGCTGTAATTATTCAAAAGCCAACATAAAATTCTGCCTTTGAAGAAACCAGTGTATCTCATCAGTCACCTTCAGTCACCTTAGGAGTAGCAAATTTGGTGCTGATTATAGTCTCATGGAATGAACTGATGAATGAAATTGATTAATTCTATTAATAAATGCAAAACCATTTGCCAAACTCCTACTTTGTGCAAAATCCTGGTAAAATGAACATGACATTGGCTCTTTCAAGGGTTTGACATCTAGACAATAAGATAGAAATACACATAATAACTAGGGTAAGTGATGTAACAGTCATACAAACAAGATGCAGTACTCTTGGAGATCCAGAGTGGGAAAGAATACATCTTTCCAGGGGTTTTTTGTTTTTTTTTTTGGTCACTCCATGAGGCATCAGGGATCTTAGTTTCCCAACTAGGGATCAAACTCTTGACCATTGCAGTGGGAACGCAGAATCTTAACCACTGAGCCACCAGGAAAGTCCCTCCAGGTGCATTTTAAAAGGCCTCATGGAGGAAAGTCAGGTGTTAGCAGAGGGTTGGTGCTAGCAAGACACAGAGAGGGTGGTGCACATCAGTCCCTCCTGATGGGCCCCAGGTTTGTGTGTGCTTCAACTGGGGTGGTCACTGGTTAGGAAACCCTGCCAAGGAGTATACCAACCAGAAGAGGGACAGGCAAGCCCATCTCTGGTAGACATGAGCCAAGGTAGACATGCTCAAGCTCCCTGGTAGACATGGGCCAAAGATGCCATCAGGACTGTGTTCGGGGTCCCTGGCCTGACTAGGAGGCTTGGGAACATCTCCAAGAAGAGCTGATGTCTGGATTGAGTTCTGAGAGCGCTCAGGAGGAATCTACTGGCAGGGTGTGGTGGGTACACACTCCAGGCAGAACTGTGAAACCCTGACAGTAAAAACAGTGCATTTCAGGCTGAGGGGTAGAGTAAGAGGGTGGTGGGGGATAAGGCAGCAGGTCCTGAGGGAGCCCCTGGGAGACTTTTTTGCATTTCCTCAAATTTGCATTGCAGGAAGATCTTTCTGGAGATCAGATCAGACAGATAGGCAGGAGGCCAATCAGACCTGTGGGGGAATTCCCTGGCAGTCCAGTGGTTAAGACTCCATGCTTCCATTGCGGGGGCCCCTGTTCCATCCCTGGTTGGGAAACTAAGATCCCACATGTGTTCAGTGCTGCTAAAAAAGGAAAAAAAAAAAGATCTGCAGCAATCCAGAGGAAACACAGTGAAAGCTGGAAATAGTTCAATTGGGTCAAAAGCCAGTTGTGGAAAGTCAATGCTCTCTCTCTCTCTCTCTCTCTCTCTCTGTGCCCCAGGCATCCCTGTGAAGGATGGGCATCCTTTTATCTGGTCTCCCCAGCCTCCGGCCATGAGTCCCCACCCCACCCCCAACCCCCACTCTTGCTCATTGCCCTCCAGCGACAGTAACAGCAAGCTGGGGCAGAAACAAGTCAAACAATCTTTAGGGCTGTGATGAAGACAAAAATCAGTCACATAAAGACCATATAAAACTTTGCAAAAGTTGTGAAAGTCATTCTATCTGACGTGATTTTTAGTAAACTTTATCAAATAACCAGGAAATTTGACAAATTTGTCATTAAATACACCAATTTTTGATACACTGGTCTAGAATAAAATCTACTAGTTAATACTTTCCATGGTTCCATGTGCCTTTTTTGGTAATACTTATTAGAGTTGAACTTTGTATTATTTAGCTCCTGTACCATCCACTGATAAAATTTAAGTGCCCTGACAGCTGGGACAGTCACCCTTTTAGGGACAATCACCTTTCTACTGAAAAAGCAATATTTTAATGGGTGAAAAATTTTCTTTTTTTCCCCAATTTATCCCTCTCTGAGGTGTCATTTTCCCCTGACTTTTGGACTGAAACTTGGGCAAGTGTCATCGACTTTTCAGTCATTCTTAGAGCAAAAACAAAAAATTAAAAGACTCTTGGTCCCAGGAAGAGTCATATATTGAAGGAGGAAACAGACAGAACAGGCTCCATCTTGAAAGCAGGACTCCATCTTGGGCCCGACTATGGACTGAGCTATATGCCCAGTATCTATGGAAACAACATACCAACTGGAAAACCAGACCCCCCAGAGGGAAGAGCCCCAGGGCTTGTACCTAGACCCTAGACTCTCCATCGCCTAAAAGAGAATACCCTAATTATCTGTGTAACCAAATAGAATCATAAATTCTATTATGCTTATTGGGGTATGATCACAGGCCTGTTGATAATTGCCCACTGTTAACTACCCAGGCTTAAGGCATATGAATCATGGGTTAACTTTGATTGTATCTTTCTTTTCCTTTGTTCAGACTAGTTTCAGGGAATTTGGGGAGGTAGGTTTGGGCACATACATTTAGGGTATATAAAGTTTTCACAAAAACTGGTCGGGGTCTTTGGCTAAGAGGAGACTCTGCCTTGGGCCCACTGGTGTAATAAACTGCATTCCACTATCTGCATTGTCCTTCTGAGTGAGTTTGTTTTCCTGAACGCGTGGCTACAACAATATAACAGCAAGTGTCCATTCTGAGTAATTACATAGACTCTGACCTTCACTTCAGAAGAAGCTTCTTTCTCCCCACTCAGACTTGCTTCAGGGGCATGGTGGGCCTGGAATGCATTGAATGAAAGGTGAAACACAAAACAGACCAACAACCAAAAAGACCCCCCAAAAATAAATTGAAATAACCCCACAAAGAACACTGAGGAGAATTTTACACTTTAGGAGCTGAGGATGTGGAATAAGCAGAAGATATTTTGCTTTTCAGCCAGAGAGATGTTGCTCATGCGTCTAATTTTGCAGAGAGCTTCAGAAGAGGAAGCTGAAGAAAGGCCACTGATTTTGATGAACAAAGATGACTGGGATCCTTGAAGCAGAAGTTTTAGTTGAATGTCAGAGGCAGAAACCAGACCTTGGTGAGCTGAGGCCAGAATGGGCAGTGAAGAAATGGAAACAGAAGCATGGGTTAACTCTGTTGATTGGTCCTGTACGCAGACATGGGAGACTGAACACAGACTTTACAGAAACTTCTGCCTCTCCAAATTTCATTAAAATGAGAGTAATAGAATTTTTTTAAAGGCATAATCAATAAGGCCAAGGAGAATGGGGGAGAGGATTATAGACTTGGGATATTACTGAAAGGTTGGAAGCCGGAAAGCAGACGGGCTGGTGGTGATAGGTTTAGCACACGAGAGAGAAATGAAACCCAAATCTAATGAAGGAAGTCCATAAGAATAAAGCAAATTAACCCCCGAAAACCCAAGAAGAGCCTAGCAACTGGGGCTTCTGAAGAAGATGGAGTGGCTAAAAATACCAAAGGATTAGTTAAAAGAATGGCTGTATGAATATGTTTTTATGGAATCTGATATAAACAGCAGAAGAAACAATAAATATTTGAAAGTTGTTGTCTCTAGTTGAGAGAATCAAGGGTGAGGAGGTGTGTGAGATAGAGATGTTTTATGTTATGTGTGTCTGTGTTAGTCGCTCAGTCGTGTCCGACCCTCTGTGACCCCAAGGACTGTAGCCCCCCAGGCTCCTCTGTCCACGGGATTCTCCAGGCAAGAATACTGGAGTGGGTTGCTATTTCTTCTCCAGAGGTTCTTCCTGACCCAGGGATTGAACCTGGGTCTCCTGCATTGCAGGCAGATTCTTTACCATCTGAGCCACCAGGGAAGTCCATCTAAGTCCAACCAATGGTTAAATAAATTATTAAATATTTTAATATCACCATGATTTTAAGCCACATGGCATTATTTGCCTTTGTAATTGTATAGCGAATTAATTTAGTAAAAAAAACAGCTAAATGAAAAAGAAGGTCATCATGCTTTCAGTATAGAAAACATTAAGGTTAAGCTTTGAAGGGAAAAAAATGGAAAGATAGTATCATAAAGGGACACAGTAAAGAGATTTTTGTTGTTAGGAGAGGAGAGATTTCATCATGAGTAAAGGGTAAAATGAGTAATCCGACGGAATGGGAAAGATCGAAGCTTTAGGAGAGAAAGGGCAAAATTGTTGGAATCCGGTCGAGGATGGGATGGGAGAAGGTATATCCAGAGCATGGGCGAGAAGATTGCCTTTGAAATTAAGCAGTTTTCTATTTCTACAATTTCTTATTGTAAGTAGAATCACTTTTATGATAATATTACCATTTAAAATTTAAAGTTGATGGTAATGGCAAATACCAACACTGTGGCTGCTGACAATAGCAATAATCAAAGGAAAGTTAGGAAATTATTGTGGGGTGATGGCTGAAAACAGTAAAAGTAAGGCTTTCTTATTCACTGTGTAAAACCTGATGGCAAAAAGCTTTAACTCTAAAGGAACCGGGTAAGTCACAGTTGTCCATGGATCCTCAACGTTTAGAGCAGTAGGCTGATGATCTTAGAGGACATTATTAAAGGGGTTTGTACATGCATTTTTATACCAGTGTTTGCTGTAGACAGAATATAAACTATTCTTCATACATTCACGTGTATTTATCTTTCCAATGTGTTTGGAAGCTGTTAAAATTAATAAGAAGCAAACTTATTTAAATTATCACTGAAATTATATTGATTGTGTAACTTCCTTCCTTCTACAATAACAGATACTAAAATTACAGCTACTATTCTGCTTGTAGTTGATGGTGAAAGGTAGAGGGGTAG